CAGGCAGGTTTTGAAGACCTCCAGAGAAGGAGACTCCACAACCYCCCTGGGCAGCCTGCTCCACTGCTCTGCCACCCTCACAGGAAAGAAGTTCTTCCTCACATGGAGATGGAACTTCCTGTGTTTCAACTTATACCCATTGCCCCTTGTCCTGTCACTGGCCATCATCGAGAAGAGCTTGACCTCTTCTTCCCTACATTCTCCCTTTATGAACTTATACATGCTAATTAGATCCCCTCTCAACCTTCTCCAWGCTGAACAGGCCCAACTCACTCAATTTCTCCTCATACGAGAGATGTTCCAGTCCCTTAATCATCTTTGTTGCTCTCTGCTGGACCCTCTCGAGAAGCTCCACATCCCTCTTATACTGGGGAGCCCAGAACTGCACACCAGTACTCCAGGTGCAGCCTCACCAGAGCTGAGGAGAGGGACAGGATCCCCTCCCTCCACCTGCTGGCAACACTCCTCCTGATGCAGGCCAGGATCCCATTGGCCTTCTTGGCCATGAGGACACACTGCTGGCTTATAGTTAACTTGTTGTAAAGCAGGACTCCCAAATCCCTCTTCATGGAGCTGCTTTCTAGCAGATCAGTCCCTAATCTGCACTGATGCCTGGGGTTTAAAAGAATCCTAATAGCATTATGTCATTTAAAGAGACTTAGTTGCATCCAATTCTGCCTCTCAAAGCATCTTGCCATGAAGTGAGTAGCTGACTGACATAATAACATATATTTTTTTTTTAAAGTGTTAGAAATTTTACAAGTATCAGTGTCTTTAAAATCAGCACGGAAAAAAAAAAAAAAAAAACCCACTTTCTTGTGTTCATAATAAAAATGTTTATTTCCAATTACAGTTTTTCTGATCYTGAATTTTACCTTCATCTTCCTTTAATATTCTTGTCACAGGATAATCTGAAGGTGGAATATAGAGAAGATGAGGGGAGAAACGTAAAAAAAAGAAAAAAAAGGCTACCACAGCTAATCTAATTTTCTGGAACAAGCTTTAACTTACTGAAGTATACAAGACTTCCTTTATGTAAGATTGTAGGATTGTATATGTTGCCACATCTTATCCCCTAACAGGGAACTAAGAATAATGACTTAGACTGGAACTGAGTTTTAAGTGTCTTGAAGGAATGATTGCTCAATTTCTTCAGATTTCCACAACTAGATGCTGCCTGTGTATCTTTTATAACACAACGATATATTCTCTTATTTGTCTCTGTCTCTTTGTGATCTTCTTACTTTGAAAGATTTGGAAGGCTAAAGGTGCTTGTGAGAAAAGACTCAATTTATAACACTGAATTAGATGCATATAATGAAGCTCAGATAAATGAGATGACCTGGAAATACCTATCTTTTCCCACAGTCATTACAAGAAGCTGCTATTTTCCTTATCTTTATGCCTCAACTGGATGCCTGAACAGAGCTGTAGTCAAGGCTGAAGAGCCATGAAAGGGCTCCTTTGTGGTCATAACAGGGGGATATTCAAGAAGATAATTATTTTATTTTGCACTTGTATCCTTATTTTGCAAAATGAATAACCTCATTCCTGTTTTGGGCTCTCAAACTTACATGCACATTTAATTTTACTTATTGACAATACCATAAATTAGTTGTACTACTTGAGCTTTTTTATGATAATAAATTCAAGCTATATATTCATCAGTTTTCTCTGGTAAAGTCTTATTTAGGTTTTGTTTACAGAGCACTCTAATCATTAGTGCCTACAAAATTGTTATTATAAATTCACACAATCTAWTATTTGTTGAAATTTTTACATTACTGTTTTGCAGAGCTTCCATGAAGAAGAAAGACCGGAATTTTTAGTTCCATGGTTGTTGTATGTTGCAAATAAAATATTTTTGATTGTTGTTTTCAATAATACTGCCAGTGTAATTTTGTAAGAATACAGAATAGAAAGAAAAATAAAGCTTTTCATTTGATGATTAGCAACTCAAATTGATACATTATTAATATAAGCTTCTATTACAGAAATCAAGTACACTATTACCTAATTTCGGGGACATATATGCTAATTTTTCAGCAAGATATTTCCTAATTCCTGCCCTTTTCAGAAAAAAAAAGGCAACTTCAGCAATGTTGTGTGGTGTCTTCTGATTTATTTTCATTGATAAATTTGATAGACATAAATAGCTAGCATTAATACAAAACAAATGCTTTCTAGAAGGGAGAGGAAATGTTGGAATTTCACCTGTTGGAATTCACAGCCTATGAATTTGTCTAAAACACAAGAACATTCAGATGTTATTAGCAATTATAACTATAAAGCAAATTTTCTTTCTTTTAAATAATTTTTAGTTAAGAAGACAACTTAGATTACACTCATTTCAGCAAGCAAAAATATTTATTTACACATTGTAATGATGTAGTGCAGACTTCTCAAACTTAATGTTGTTTAAATCATCACTGACAAGTTCATATGCTTCTTAAAACAAAAATAACGATTAGATTGGCAAATCAATGAGTACTAGGGTAGGAATAAACCTAACCTTAAAAGTGGAGAAATGTCTCAGTTGAGCATTGTTTTCCACAGATCTACAGTTGCTGCTCTCCTGGGTATACCATCCATCACAAATCCCTTACTTGTAACCTACAAGCTAATAAGCTATAGTAAACCTTGAAGTTAAATATCAGGAACTTTCTATAGTAGAAAAAGAAACTTCCCGCTGAATTTCCTAAGCTCAAATAATCACTTCTCAAACAGAATGGTCCACAGAATATCATTAAACAGATAGAAATTAAACAATTTCTATTAGAACAACTAGAAGGAAACTGTACTTTCTTTTCTTTTTTGTTCCCATAAATCTCTATCATTTAAATGTCTTTACTGTCACTCAGATGTGCACACTGATCACTTTTCATKGACCAAACACACTATTTCAAAGAATGCAAACATATGTCAGTGAGTTTCAACAATCCTTACAATATGTGGAAGGCCTTTCTAACAGAGCAATCGACCAATTCCTTTCAAATGGAATATATTCCATCTAAATGGCTTCAAAAAACTGTGTTGGTGAATCCAGTTCAACACCTGAGAACTCACACAACTGTTAAATAGGCAGAATCTATCAGTTACAGAGAGACAGCCTTCATAATAGTTATTTTTTAACTCTCACTCTTAATCCTCACCTTCACAGGACACCTAGAAAAAAAATTCAGAAGGCTAATTTGAAAGTAAATCTGAAGTATTCAGTACTAAAGATTTGAGAAATGAGTTAGCTTTATCATAATTATATTACAGTTTTTCTTGTTACTTGTTTTATAGGTTGCCCCTCTGTTTCATCTTCCTTTTCATTTCTCACTAGGATGAGTAATTTCATCATCTCAGATACTTTGTTCCATCACAGAATCATGGARTCACTAAATAGCTGGAAAGCACCTCTGCAGATCATCCAGTCCCACTGCTTAAGTGGGGTCACCTAGAGCATGTTGCATATGTGGGTTTTGAGGATCTCCAGATGAGGCTCCACAATCTCTTCGGGCAACCTGTTTGAGTGCTCTGTCACCCTAACAGTCAAGAAGTTTTTCCTCAGGTTCCTCATGTTCATGTCCTCATGTTCAAGCAGAACTTCTCGTCCTTCAGTTTGGGCCCATTGCCTCTTGTCTTATTGCTGGGCAACACTGAAAAGACACTGGCCCCATCTTCCCTTCAAATACATATACATATTGATAAGATCTCCCTTCTTTCTTCTCCTCTCCAGGCTGAACCATCCCAACTTCCTCAGCCTTTCCTCCATCAAAATTTTAATCCTTTCTTTCTTTTTTTCTTTCTTTTTTTTTTTTTTTTTTTTTTTTTTTGGAGTGCTTCTGCTTCTTGATTCGATCTGGAGGTTTTTCAGAGTAGTCAATTTGTAAGTTTTCAGTCCCCTGCAAATGTGCAGCAGACATTTGTTTATACTAAATTCACAGTAAAATGCATATCCTCAGTGTTCCACAGTCCAAACCAGGTACTCCTCAGTACAAATTATTCCGAGCATTCTTAAAATTTAAGCAGAAAGTATATCCATACATTTTGAAAACAAGGTGCAAGAATTCAGTCTAGCAGCTATGCTGCCTTCTGTATTCTGTATCCTTCTAAACTACTTCAGTATTTGTCAGGAAATTTGCATCTTATGTTTACAGCATCCTATTATAATTTCCTTTTAAAGAAGATAAAAATGAGCAGGTATAAGTAAAATATAAAATCTAGCAAAATAAACACATCATGAATGCTCCAGTCACCAAAGCTAATGATTTATCCCAGCAGAAAGAAGTAGCTACTGACCAGGTTCTGTATTAATTAGTTCTGTATGCTATTTGTCATCTATTGAATTAATCTGAATTGATTTAATGCATATTGTGTTAATTCTAACCCAGAGATAAACACTAAGTAAAAATAGATGTACTGTTTTGTATTTTGGAAAACGTATGTTAAAACAGTGAAAATGCTGTAAAATAGTGATTTAGTTTAACAAGAATTTCAGCAAAAATATATTTACTTCACTAGCAGATAACGTTGGGTTCTTATTTTCTTATACCCTGAACTGTCTGGTTAATAGTGCAGAATATTCAAATAGATACTACTTTGTTATTTTCTGTGGTGTCTTGTTTTCTTTTGTTTTTCATATGAAATCTTTTATGTAATTTAAAAGGAACATTATTTCAGATTTTTTTATTAAATATTTCATTTTTGATTATTTTCAGTGTTTAGATTTGATATCTGTAAGTAAGGTAGCCGTAGCATAGTATATTTACCTATTGGGTCAACAAATCACGTCATTATATCAAATAGATTTGTGAATAGGCAATATACCAAAACTTTGGGTTTTGTGAGTTCATAATGTTTCTGTTAGAGAACTCATGAAACCTTAGTATGCAGTGGCCCAAATCTACTTCACAGCCAGTCTGTATTCCTCTTTGTTTAATAGCCTATGGCATAAATTGAAGTTAATTATTGGGGCTGACAAGTAACTCGGCTTTCTGTCTGCTTGCAGAGTCTCTCCAAGGCAAAGATGGAGCTGAGAAGAAAAGATCAATCTCTGCGTCAACTCAATAGACTTCTTACCCAGCTGGAGCAGGACAAGCGTCGACTGGAAGAGAGCATCCACGATGCAGAGAGTGCCCTCTGCATGGCAGCCAAGTGAGCACTGGGACCTTGGGGAGATCACTTAAAACAGACAAAAGATCAATTCTTACTTTCATGCACAGGGTTTTAGCCCTGGCTAATGTAAGGCTAAAAACAAAAGTACATCTGTCTTTCTTTGAAATTCAATGATAGTCTTATAAAAAGAAAACTCTTACTTCAAAATACTAAATGTGTGTTTTCTGTAGTAAATCTCCTAAAGTGTTCCGAATTCTGTGTCCTGAAAATAGCATGGGAATTATTTTTGCCCAGTTGTTTTACAGTTTTGACAATATGTTACACAGAACCTTGTATTCCTAATTATTTGAGAAATAAGATGGTTTCTTTCACCTAATGCCATATAATTTTACAGAATCATATGATTTACTTACAATACATATCTCTTGTACAGAAATATCAACTTGGGGACATGTCTTAATTGCAAAATGCATTGAAAAGCATTTGGGACCTGGTCCTGTCTATGGAATAGTGAAGATTTTTTGGATAATTTCATGGGAATTAGGCATAAAAACTGTGCCTATTTGTATACCATAACATGAAAAGTGGAAAAAAGTGTTAAACATGAAAAGATATCTATTTAAAAGGTGCTGTATTGATTTTAATGAGTTTAATCCTAACTTCTTACAGTCACGTAGTTAGATAAAAAGATGAAGCTTTGCAGGCTCTGTGTTTTAGCTATTACTGTTATTGTAGTATGTACTGCAAATATTACTGGTCACATGAGTAGGATTTGTTAACTTCTAAAATTTCTTATTACACCTAGGATCCATTTGACCTGTGAAAAGTGGTAGCCTAGAAACTCTAAGGATTTTATGCACAAGTAAAATATAATAATTACTGCAGGAATTTATATGAGATGCTTAGTGGGATAATTAAAATGACAAATGTTATTTATTAGGAGTGTATAAAAGCAGACCTGAAAAAGGATTTGTGTTCCCAAAAGCTTACCGATCTTTTCCCGGCCTTCAGGTGTTTTACCGACTCCAGAGAAGAACATGCCTTCTAGCCCTTCTTACATTCAGAACTTTATATTTTTCTTTATATAAAATGTTTTTAGCAGGTCATTTCTCTATACAGCAATCAAATATTGACCAAGGAAAAAAAATTGCKCTTGCTGTTCTACCAACTGTTTATAACAAGATTCTTTTTTCCCCTTGGTATATGACTAGAATTGGTTGAATAGATTCAAGTCTTGTCCAGATGATCTTATTTTGTTAACTCCTCCACAGCCTGTGTCACTGAAAGCAATACAGATTTATTTCCATGTTATCTTTTTGTGAAAATAAGAACTTGCAGTTGACTTTGTAAAGTTTCCGTAATTCTATTTAAAGATACTCTTCTTTTTGTGATGAAGAACACCTGAGAGTATACATTAAGTGCTTTTCTATATCATTAACTAACTTAAAAATCAATGCTGTTGAACTGACTTTTTGGTACTGTTTTTTTACACATAAAACAGCAGTTGCCATATAAATGAGGCCAGCAGAGAAAGTGACCAATGTGTCCCTTTCAATCCAGTCCAAAAGACGACAATATCCTGAAAGACAAAATCTGTGTGGCAGCCTTACTAAGAAAGTAAAGAACAATCTTACTTTTCTGTGCTTTTGCCATTGGAATAGTGTAAGTCAAGCTAAAGGAGGAAGCAGTTGTCATTCCAAGTAGAACACAATGGTTTTTATATCTATTCTAGAAAGTAAAATATCTAGAACAAAAATTTCAGATAGCTGCTGAGATAAAGGCATGCATTTCCTTGACTATCGTGTTGTTATTCCTGCTGCCTCACTTCCTAGAAATGTTGTCTTAAACTACATTTCTTTCAGTGCATCAGGTGGCGTGAGTATTTCTTATGATAGCATAACGCTTCAAAGCTATTTTTCTTATGGAATTCCTGAAAAAGCAATGASTTGTAGTCTGAACTTCTGTTTCATAAAGATAAGATTCCTGACTTTTGTCAGAAAAGACCAAGTGTTACAGTTCATGAAAGAAAGTTGTTCTTAGTATACAAGAAGACTTCATGAAAAGATATATTCTGTCATTCTTTTCTAGAATGAGACTCTCTTCCCTTTAGAGTCTGGAGACCATTCCACATGTTCTTTTTATGCAAGGCTAGAGATTTTTTTCTCTTAAAATAGAATGGTACTARACATAGTTATTTGATTATCTGTTGATAGTCCCATAAGCATACCTGGCTTAATGCATAGCCACAAGAGAAATATCTTTAAATGGAAACCTACACCAAAGGTTTTTTTAAATGGAAACCTGCACCTGTTGTTACACAGTTCATGTTTGGAGTATAAACAGAAGAGATAAAAATATTTCTGAGTTGCCCAGTATTATATTTAAATACGTAATAAAGTTATCGGTATAAAATGAATTTCTACATAAATACTGTTTCAATTTTACTAAAAACAATGTTTTTTTCCTCTTAAAATAGAGATAAGGAATTAATTGCCAGCCATATGAAATCTGTGGAAGCCACTCTTCAAAAGGTAAGAATTAGAAGTGTTCCCCCTGTTTCGCTTTTATTTCTGTTCACATCACACTTTTATAGCTGCTTGTTTGCAGGAAAGTGAGAGGTAGAAATTGTTGCAAAGCAACTTCTCTTTTTCAGAGTGTGAGCTGTCCAACATCAAATTCTTCCGAACTCAAAAAATTTTCAGATATAGAACTTAGTACAAAATTCTTCTTCCTTACGTCAATCACTGAATACTACTTCTGTTTACTAAGATTGTTGATCATCCAAACAATTTTTAATTGTTACTGTGTTATCTTTGTGTACTAAGGCAGAGATTTTCCAATGAGATCATAAGATGTTTGACTTTGTGCATGCTATTTTGATCTTTGTTAATTAAAAAAATAAAATAAGGGGGGATGTTAAGTTTTAACTCATAATCCAAGAAAAAAAAAGTGTATTTTTAAAGCCTTTTTTTCTTGACTGAATAATAGTCTTAAGTTGATGAGTGGCTTATGCATTTGGCTGTGTTACAGTATTCTTCCACTCTCCAGGAAGGCTGAATTTGGGAGGAACTATAGCTGTAGGGACTAGTTGTTCTCTGTGTATTTTTAGTCCAGAGCTGCACAGAGGAATAAAGGGTTTATCTCTTGTTTGCTTGGAATGCTTATTTCGCTAAAAATATCTTTAAATTCCAGAAATAGGTGAGTCTATATCCTTATTTGAGTTTCTGTAGCCATCAAAGCTGCTGTTAATTTTTATATTCCTTTCTGAAGCCTCCTTCTCAAGCTTTTCATTTTCCATGATGTTCACCAAGAGTCACACCATGTAAATAGCTTTTGTGTTATAGCTGCAGCATGCTGTGCTGATAGATAATGTCTTCTTGTATTTCTCTGTCTTATTCATATATACCTCTTTAACTGTGGGAGATCTATCTCTGTGTTTTTTACACTAAGTAGTGCATGTAGTGTCCTTGATCTTGAAAATGTATTGTTCTGGTTTAAGAGTTTACATTTCAGTGATTTAGAAAGCAGTACTGGGTATCCACAAGGACTGAAGTGTTTGGGGCAAGATAGATAGAAAGGTTGTATATATTTTCATTCTGCCTTGCCTAATGAAGAGAGAAAATCAAGAAACCGTCAGCCTTCTTTGAGAATATTAGTTACCACAACTGTTTCACATTTCTCAGTGTTTGTTAGAATTGCATATAGTTGCTAAATAACTAGCTACTAGCTACTGAGTAGCAGAGTCATTTCTCTTTTCCTGTCTGTCAACCTGAAGAATGAAGAAAAACGTAAGAAATGTCAGGACGCACCTTTCAGAAGGAATATAAACAATTGATTGTAAATCATTCAAAATTTGACACATCATTTCCCAACAAGAACAAAAGAAAATGATTGATCTTTGGGAAGTATAGACTCTACATCATAATAGTATCTTATTATCTAACATTAATGAACATGGCTTATTTGTAGGCTATCATGTTTACATCTCATTCTCATGATTTTTTTCCCATGCAGAATGAAAAATTAGAACATGATGAAGTAGATGAAATACTAGTAAAGGAACCAAGAGCCTATCTCTTCCCAGCTTCCCCATAGGAATTTGGGGGGTTGCATTTATTTTTTTACAGAGGAATCAAAGGAAAATGAATAAAGTTCTGAACCATCTTTAACCGAAGAAGTATTACTGTTAGTTGCAAATATATTGTGGGAGTCTGACATTGAGCATTCTGGTATKGATGTAGTCATGAGCAAGTATCCACAAAATTCCACTGCATCACTTGTAGGATCTATTATCAATGCATAATATTAACTTTTTGCTTATAGAGTTGATGGATTTTACAGTCATAGATAGTAATCAGTTAGTAAGAGGTTATACGTCTATATTTGTTCTGAGTTCACTCATTACAAGAGTTCCAGAAGGAGAAAATATATGCACTAGGTAATCTCCCTTTGCGTGCAACTTTCAACAAACAAGGTAGAAGATAGTAGGATCTGGGGAAATGCACTTGCTGCACACGTTTCTACTATAGTTTTGGGSAAGAGACTTCTCCCAGCGTTTACTGCTCTCTCCCAGGGGCTGTTTGGAAAGTCTAAGGTCATACATTTGACTTGCTGATGTTATATAGAGAGTTTAGTGTCTGGAATGGTTCTTCGAACCTGTGTTATGAGCATGTGCTATGTATATGTTAAGAGAAAATAGATTTAGCAGCTTGACCAACTGTCCAACAAGTCAGTTTGACACTGTCCAACAAGTCAGTTTGAAATCTTATCCTCCCTCTTTCTGCATTAGCTGTTTTCTTCTGAAATCTGACTCTGGAGCTAGATTGTTTGTGCAAGAATCCATGCTTCAATTGAAGTAAGGGAAACTTACATTTTAGACTTTTTAAGTATAGAAGAAAAAAATGAAAAGGCAAGTAGAATGCTGCATGAAAGGGATAGAAAGCAACAAGGAGCACATCAAATRCAAAAAAACTCACCTGKWTTTTTTTTTTACTTTTTCTTAATCACAATGTATTTAAGAAGACCAAAATATAATCCAGTCTTCAAAAAGGGCAAGAAGGGGGAACCCAGGACACAACAGATGAGTCGGCCTCACCTCCATCCCTGGAAAAGTGATGGAGCAGCACATCCTGGAGAGCTTATCTAGGCATGTGAAGGAGAAGGAGGTGATCAGGAGTAGTCAGCATGGATTCACCAAGGGGAAGTCATGTTCAAGGGGAAGCCGATAACCTTCTATGATGGGATGATTGGCCAACTGGACAAGAGGAGAGCCATGGATGTTGTCTGCCTTGACTTCAGCAAGGCTTTTGGCACCGTCTCCCGTACTATCCTCATAGGGAAGCTCCTGGAGTGCGAACTGAACAGGTTGACAGTGAGGTGGATTGAGAACTGGCTGGATGGCAGAGCCCAGGAGATAAATGGGGCCGAGTCCAGTTGGAGGCGTGTGGCCCGTGGTGCCCTCTGGGTGGGGGTGGTACTGAGCCCAATGCTGTTCAGCCTGTTCACCCATGACTTGGACGAGGGCACAGAGGGTGCCCTGAGCAAGTCTGTGGACGATCCCAAGCTGGGTGGAGTGGCCGACACTCCGGAGGGCCCTGCTGCCATCCAGAGGGACCTGGACAGGCTGGTGAGTTGGTCAGAGAGGAACCTCCTGAGGTTCAACAAGGACAAGTGCAGGGTCCTGCCCCTGGGCAGGAATAACCCCAGGCCCCAGCACAGGTTAGGAGCTGACCTGCTGGAGAGCAGCTCCGCAGAGAGGGACCTGGGAGTCCTGGTGGACACCAAGTTAGCCATGAGGCAGCAGTGCCSTYGTGGCCAAGAAGGCCAATGGGCTGCTGGCTGCATGAGGAGGATGTTGGCAGCAGGGGSAGGGAGGGGATCCTGCCCCTCTGCTCAGCTCTGGGGAGGCCAAACCTGGAGCACTGGGGGCAGCTCTGGGCTCCCCAGGACAAGAGGGACGTGGAGCTTCTAGAGAGGGTCCAGCGGAGGGCAACATCCGGAGTGACAGGAGAAGGGGCAATGGGTACAAGTTGAAACATAGGCAGGAAGTGAGGAAGAACTTCTTCCCTGTGGGGGTGCCAGAGCCCTGRCACAGGCTGCCCAGGGAGGCTGTRGAGTCTCCTTCTCTGGAGATCTTCCCAACCCGCCTGGATGCCGCCCTGTGCCCCGTGCTCTGGGTGTCCCTGCTGGAGCAGGGGGCTGGACTAGATGATCTCTAGAGGTCCCTTCCAACCTCAACCATTCTGTGAGTCTATTATAGCCAATTTTTGGAATCCTTAGGTKGGAAAACATATGGAAAAGTTTTTACTAAAATCTATTGGATAATCTTAAACCAGAGCAAAATAGATGAGGCTTGTTTGGCTGCTTATTAGCAAAATGGTAATAGAAATAAGCTAATTATTTTCRAACTGTTCTTTGAAGAAATTTTGTGTGCTCAGAGATGCAAATACATACAAATATTTTTCTCATTGAAGGAAAAAGCAGTTAAAAATATCTTACTATATAACTTACCTACAGGCACTTTTTAGTGTATATGAAAAAAAAAATATTTTTTAAAACATTTCCCTCTGAGAAACATGGTGAGAAGTGATTTTTGGTATAAATATAAACCAGATAAACTATACATCATTATTAWTTTTTTCTGTACTTCTTCAGAACAGCATCATGTCTTCATAAAACACAGTAAGAAACATCCTTTTAATGCAAGTAGATTCATTAGTGTGTGTTGTTAGTGACTTACTAGTCATGATTTCTTACATCAGTGGAAGAAACAGCTGAACTCTCTCTGCTAAAATTTTAAGCAATGCCTGTATATACTGCTTCGCAGTTTGAGTGTTGCAACTCCCTTTTCAACCTCTCCAATTCCTATTCTCTAGGCTGTGCAAAAGACTGCCATGGGAAATTATCCCAGTGAGTCAGTCTGCACAGAGCTATAAAATTGTTTGGTTTTCCCCTTGTACTCTTAACCATTAAAATTCTGATGAGCCTTATGAGTAAAATTATGAAGATTTTTTTTCAGCATGCYGCAACACTAACTGCTTAGCATTTGGCCCTGTTATAAACTTAATAAAATACCATTTCTTGACAGGCTTAGGCTGATACCTGCTATCAAATGGGAGGTTAATGATCTATGATAATAAGTTAGTTAAAAAAAAAAAAAAAAGCACAGTGTGCTGCCTTCCTTCTGGATTTAGGATTAGCAGGTTTATCCTCATCTCATTTTCTTCACWTCCTTTGCTGCTGTTTAAAGGGTTCCTTAGCCGTTTGATGGAAGTGCTTCCGCACRGACCCATCAACAGTCATTTCTCAGAATCTTGCTGCTGTTGGGTTGAACTGCCCTGTTGCTCCTATACTCCCCTTTTCCTGTTCTCTTCTCCCAGAAGGTCATTAAATGGCTAGGGTTTGGACTTCGTAGTATTGTCAACTGAAAAAATTCTTGGATGCTATACAAATAGTTCTATTAAATTTGCCAAATATGAAGGTGAAATCATCTTTACTTTTCCAATTGTGTTTTACAATGGTATTTTACTAC